TTTGTTTCAACACATCGGGCTTATGTTATTACAGCATTGCTTTGGCTATTAGAACATTGTTGGGTTCCAAGGCCATTTCGTGGTAGGCCTATAGGAATGCGGTCTCTGCTCAAGATTCATTCCTGGATAGCTCGTAGAGAGCTAAGAGGGTTTCAGATTAAGAAGCCCGAGCCGCAGGGCAGCCCCGGAGGTCGTTCCAGCTTCCGTGAAAACTCCCCAGAGAGAGTTCTCCGACCTTCCAGCGGGTCCCGAGATGTCTTTCCCAAGCGTTTCCCAATACGCGTGCCCAGAAGCACTCCAGGAGGTCCTTGGGAAGAGGCTGTCCCCAGGTCCTTCCAGAGTTCTTCGACAGGCCTTTCCACGCCCCTGCGGCGCCCTGCTATCCTGGTTTGGGACCCCAAAAGTGCAGCGCTGGGACAAGTTTAAAACACAGCCTGGGCTACAGCGACCTGGGAACGTGGACCTCGCACCTCTGCCCGAACGCTGATCACGAGCTCTCGCACATCCTCGGTGGTCAGCAGGCTGCCGTCAGGGGGAGACGCCTGGCGCGGCAGCCACGGCCAGCTCAGTCTCCCCCTCCCCCTTGCTTCGAAGAAGAGAAAACGCCATGAACCTGAACTTTTGGCGCTCCGCGCGGCGCCGCGGGGGTCCAGCGCATCCGCGCGGAGCGCGAACAGTTTATGTTTATGGCGTTGTCTCTTCTTCTATTGTTTCTTCCTCGCCCCTCGAGCCATGAAAAAAAAACTGCAGGAGGTGTTTCGCCATGTTCGGCCGTTGGGGGCCATCACTGGGCTTCGGGACCCTCCAGGTTTTGCGAGATAATTCCCAGCGGAGGCGGCGCCCAGATAACCTCGCTTCGGGCTGCCATCCCAAGGACGGCGGCAAGCCCCCCCACCCCCGCATGCTCCGCAGGCTCCTGGTTTCAGACCCTGCGGTGCATTGGTTGGGATCGCATTTGAAATTAACATGGTTCTTATGTCAATTCGTTTGGTTCGTTCCGCCTCGAGGGGCTGGTGTTCGATCGCCCCTCCTGGCCTTCCTGTTTGCCTGTCCAGGGGGCCCTGGCCAGATGTGGTGGGATGCCTCGCTGCCGCGATGGTTCGGCTGGGCTCTCGCGTGCCGTTCCATCTTCGTTATGTGATTGATAGTGTTCCTCACATGTTCCCAGCGCTCCTCTAGTTCTTACTCCGAGGTCGGCGCGTCTCTCCACGTGCTCTCTGTTTCTCCTCATCATATTCCTCCTCCTCCGCCTCCGCCTCCGCCTCCGCCTCCGCCTACTCCTCCTCCTCCTCGCCGCCAGGCCGAGGCATTTTTCAAATGCCTCGCCACCGCGGATAAGCGTTGCCGCCTGAGTTCCATGTGCACCGCCAGAATGCGGCGTGGGCCCGATGACGTCAGGCTCATTCTCCCGCCCGCTCGCGGGTGCTGCTATAAGGGACCTGGCGGAGGGCGGCGCCTCCCTTGGGAGGCTCGTGGTCGTTCGTTGTCGTCCTTCGCGTTCCGTTTCGCCGTCGTGCCCCTCGCCCCCATCCCTCCTTAGAGAGTTGCGGCACGGCCCTGGAGTAAGTTCCAGGGTGGACGGTGTGTGCGCTCCTGGGCAGGAGAGTGACCCTCCCCACCCCCTCCCCCCCGTTCCTTGTTGCCGCCGCTGCGACCGCTGCAGGTGTCAGGCCAGGGTCGCCAATGCCCTGCACCCTCGGCCAAGAGATGCGACTTGGGCGCGGGGAGACCCCAGTGCCACGTCCTGGTGCGAGGTGAACCGCCGTCGGCGTTCACGGAGGCGCGGCCGGGGCCCGCGGCTTCCGCACTCTGCGAGCATATTGCTCATGGGGGCGCGGGTGCCGGGCAAGGCTCCGCGCGTTCTCCATCGGGCGCCGATCGCGAACGCCTGTGCGCCAGTTTGGCGCGGGGTGTAGGACGGTCCGTGGCTCGGTTTATCTTTGTTGCTGATTTCCTCGCCAAGGCTCAGCACTGGAGCTAGCCAGGGAAAGGAAGCCCCGGAGGTCAGGTCCCAGCTTGTGCCCGTGACCCCTTGTCTGCACGTGTGCCTCTGGTGTTGACCGTTGGCCACTGTGGCCGTTGACCAGGGCACGTTTGCCCGCACCCGTTGGGCGCCAAGGTTTTGTTCTGCCCCTTGGGCCTTGCAACATCCACCTCATCCTCCTACTCCTCTTCCTCCTTCTCCTCCTCCATCCATTTTTCTTCTGAGTGGTTCCTCCCTGTCGCTGCCCGAGGCCAGTCGGAAGGGCGGGTCGGGCGTTTCGTCTGACATTTCCGCATCGCTCATGAGCCCGAAGCTTCGAAACTGACAACCGTTTCACAGACGGAGGGCGGGTCCCTTCCAAAATGTGGTTTTCGCCCGAGCGCGGCGTGCGTTAGTTCTAGACAATTGCCATAGTTTTGCGGACTGAGGCCGGGTGGTTGTCAAAGGTTGGCCTCGCTTTGGCGCCGCGCACATTTGCATCAGCATGTGGCGAAAGCTTCACGGATTGAGGGCGGCTCCTTTTTCAAAATGCGGCTCTCGCTTAGCACGGCGCGCATAATTGCAAGAGCTTCGCGGATTGAGGGCGATTCGTTTTCAAAATGTTATTATCGCTTGAGCGCCGCGCGCATTTGTATTACAACGTTGCCAGGGCTTCACGGGTTGAGGGCGGTTCCTTTTCAAAACGTGGCCTTCGCTGTCGCGCCGCGCACATTTGCATCGCAATGTTGCAAGGGGTTCGCGGATTGAGGGCTGGTCGTTTTCAAGTTGCCGTTCTAGTTATAGTGCCGCGCACATTCGTATAACAAAATTGCAAGAGTGTCATTGATTGGAGGCGGCTCTTTTTCAAAATGTGGTTCTCGCCTTCGTGCCGCGCGCATTTGCATACACAGTTTGCAAGAGCTTCACGGATTGAGGGCGGTTGATTTTCAACATGCCGTTCTCGCTTTAGCACCGCGCACATTCTCTTAACAAGCTTGCAGGGGCTTCACGGATTGACGGCGCTCCCTTTTCAAATTGCAGCTTTCGCCTCAGCACCGTTCGCAATCGTCTTACAACCATTGCAAACGTTTGCGGGGTTTCATGTGTAACCTTCCTCAAATGAAGCTTGCCAACGGCTCAGGATTGTTCAGGGCGCAACAGTTACATTGATTCGCGGTGTTGAAGTCCCAGGAATGGCATTCCAGCACGATTCAGGATCGCCAGTACGCAACATCCAGGGTGAGTCGTAGCGCTGAGGTCCTGCGAATGGGGTTTTGGCACGTTTCAGGATTTTCACACATTTGCCTCCCAACAGGGCACTGCCTTCAGTGGAAGTGAATCCTTGTATCGGGCTTACAAACAAACAGTTTGGAGGGGGAGTGCATCCCAACATCGTTGATGCGTTGAGGGTGTGTATGAGTCCTCTTCCTCTTATTCATCCTCCTGATCCTCCTCCTCCTCCTCCTCCTCCTCCTCTTCCTCCTCCTCCCCCATACTCATCCTATTGTTCCTCCTCCACCTCCCCCTCCACATCCTCCACCCCTTCCTCCTCCTCCTCCTTCTCCTCCTCCTTTCTCTGTTTTCATCCCTCCTCCTCCCCCTACCCCTTTAGCCCCCCCTTGACGTATTGCGGGGCCCATGAAATTTACAGCTTGACGAACGTGAAGCCGCAATCGCGCATCATGCTGCCTCCAAGGCCCACTCCTCCCATGTGTTGCCTGTGTTCCGTAAGGGTGTTTGGTATGATGGCATTGTGGGCGTCATTGTGTCTCCAGCGCCCAGCAGGTATTTGAGGTGTGCCCGTCGACGGGGCCCAGTAAAGCTGGCGCCAGCGTCCTCTCAAGGCTGTGCAGAGGGCCGCCCCCAAAGAGCGGCATGCAGTTCCCCTCTTGTGAATGGGGTGCGTCAATGCTGGCCTGGCCAGGGGTGCTCAGATGGCGGGTCGGGAAGCCCTGAACCAAAAAACCTTGCCATCACTTGGGAGGCCGATTCTTACTGCCGCCAGTTTCCGCCAGCCTCTCACCAGCGGAGGCGGCCTCGTTTTTTTCCGCCGCCTGCCGCCTTCGATCCTCGAAAGCGAAGCCGTTCCTGGAACAACTTATCCGTAAGGGCTTCGCCCCCATGCCGCCGGCCCCCCTCTCTTAGACTGGGACTTGCCAGAGCTGTGTTGGGATGTTTGGACGACGCTGACGGAAGTACTGCCGGGACTTCACGCGAGGGCAACTATTAATTTACGAGGGTGTATGGCTTCGGTGGCGCGAATGTTATGTAATTTGCAATGGCTTATGGCTTCGGGGACGCGAATATAGCGTAGTTTACGAGGGTGGATGGCCTCGGGGACGCAAAGATTAGGTAATTTACAAGGGTTGATGGCCTCGGGGACGCGAATATTATGTCATTTGCTAGGGTTTGTGGCCTCGAGGACGCAAGCATGGTGTAATTTACGAGGGTGGATGGCCCTGGGGACGCGAATATTGTAGAACTTTCCCAGGTGTATGGCTTCGACCGCGCGAATGTTCCATACTTTACGAGGGTTTATGGCTTCGGGGGCATCGTGTAATGTACGACGGTTTATGGTTTCGCGGGCGCGATTTTGCGCGTAATGTACGACGGGTTATGGCTTCGGGGACGCGAGCATTGTGTACTTTACGAGGGTGTATGGCCTCGGGGACGCCAAGATGGCGTAATGTTCCAGGGGTGGTGGCCTCGGGGACGCGAAAACCAAGTATTCGCATGTGTCCCACGATCCCCCGGGAGTTCAGACAACGCGATTCGGGGGTGCTAACCAGGACGCTGTTCGGCTCCCCCCCCCCCAGCACGTTCAGCAACAATTAGCAGTAAGGCAGCAGAAAGCAGGACTGCAACAGTGGAAACTGGAGACTGCAACTGGCACAGGGAGCTGCAAGCCTAGCTTTCGCAGCCTGATGGCCCCGCAAGGGGGCCCGCTGATATGATCCAGGCCAGGTCAGTCCTCCCCATTTCATCCCTCCATCCCCTCCATTCCCAATTCGCCGCGAAAGACCCGACAGCCTGCGAGGACGTGAAGGAGCGCCTGCGGATGCAGGCGCCGATCCCGCCGGGTGCTCAAGAAACCCTGTGTTTGTCCTGGCGTCTCTTGATGCCGTTCCTTGCGCCAAGCTTCCCTTGAGAGGAGGCAGGAGTAGGAAAACGGAGGAAAGAAAAAAAGAGAAGCGAGTAATGGCGAGATGGGAGGGAGGGAGGAAAGGAGGAAGGAAAGGAGGACGGGACGAGGAGGAAAAGGAGGAGAGATGAGGAGAGAGATGAGGAGGAGAGAGGGCGAGGGAGGAGGAGGCGGAGGAGGAGGAGGTGGAGGTGGAGGAGCAGGAGGAGGAGGAGCAGGAGGAGGAGGAGCAGGAGGCGGAGGAAGGAAGGAGAGGGAGAGAGGAGGAGAGAGACAAAGAAGGAGAGAACAACACAACGGAGGAGGAGGAAGAAAGAGAGAGATAGAGGGAGAGAGTAAGGAAGAGAGAAAGTTGGAAATAAATAGGAGGAGGTGCCTCACTCAAAAGGGGATGGCCAGTCACCGAGGAAGATATCACACACACACACATCGATATGACCCAGCGAGATGGGCGGCAGAAACTTGCTGCAATGCGTGCATGATGTATTGCACACGTCTGGGTGGTTTGTGAAGCACCTAAAACAGAACAAGACATACGCGGCCAGTTATGTCAGGCTGGCTAGGGCCGCTGGCCACGAGGAAGTTATGCAGTGGAGAGACGAGGGCCCGCTGCTCCAGAGCAACAAAAAAAACGTTATGCTGGTAAACATGAGCATGCCGTTGAGCGCGCGGCGTATCGCACCATTGGAGCTCCGATGTGTGTGCGGATGCAGGAGGAAGCCCAAGTGTGCTGGTTGCCGCAGGCCACCCTGTTTGTCGAACCAGCTGCAGGCCAAGTCAGTGATCTGACATGCGTGGGATTGCCTCCTGTTGTTCTGATCGCTGGCAAGGGCCAACGAGCGCAAGATGGCTTCCATCAACAGTGTTGTGACAGGTGCGAGAGCGCAGAGGTCATAATCAATATTATCTATATATATATATATGACCCATGCTCAGCGGGCGAACCAAAAGCTGGATGGCTGGATTGAGTTGGTTTATAAGGAGGACGCTCCTCAAGAGGCAGAGTGCTGCGTTCGGCAGCTTACCCGTGGAGAACCGCATGTGCCAACGCTAATGAGACGGGTGTGCTTGAGGTGGTCAACGCCTGAATCCGAGGTGGTTTGGCCATGATGTCGGCCGCCAAAAAGCTGACGGTCCCGTGGGTTTCCCTCGGTTGCGAAGAGGAGCTTAACGACGGGAATGGCAATTGCCACGCGGAGCACGACGCACGGGCGCGCATGTACACCAAGAAGCGCAATCGCGAGAAGGAGTTTGCGCGCATCGGGGCGGGCGAGGCCCAGTGCAACAGGGGAGCGGGCGAGGCTAACACCCGGCAGGCCCAGGAGGCCCTGACGGACAAACAACGTTTGGTCAGTGTATGTTTCCTTGCTCTCCACGGTCTGTCGCGCGTTGCACCCAGGTTGGTTCAACTAAGTGGTTTTGACGGGGCACGTGTGACACACGGAAGGAGTGCGGACATCTCGACACATTGCCACTCGCCTTTTTGCGTTGCCCCGTCATTCATGTTGTGCAGATTGCTTGGTTCTCATCCTGTTTAACGATCGCTAGTCTTCTGTCAGGAGTGGAAAAAACACACAGACACAATTCATCGTCGATTCCCAGGAGAATATGCGAAGATGTGGGAAGTAGGGGGGAAGACGAAAATCCAAACAAAATTTGAAAATATGGAAAATCCTGTAAGTTGTGTGAATGTATGTGTGTGCCCCGGGCCCCCGTGTATTCTGAGCGCACTAGCCTGCTTAGGGATACTTGTATTGTACACAAAGATTGACCTCATCCTCGCCGCTTACCAAAGTGATAGATGCATTACCGATCTTGCGCTGTCGAGTTAGCTCCAAACTTCACTGGCGATGTGCAAGTTGAATGAAGTTGCGCGCAACCGACCGAAGCTGGACCACCAAGCCGAGAGGGGCTCAATGAAGGACACCATGTTACTGCGCAACCGTTGGCGCTTGGCTCGAGAATTATAACCGCCGTCAGGCGGTGTCTGCACTTTCAGCGTTGACCGTTTTTTGAAAAGCAGCCTCATTTCCGCTTCTATTGTTCGGTTAAAATTGCAAAGACGGGACGGAGGAGGGTGGGAAAAGAGGAGCAGGAGGAGGAGGAAGATGAGGGCGAGAAGGACGGCGCAGGAGGGAGCGAGAAGAACGAGGAGAAGGTGCAGCATCAGCATCAGCATGGAGCAGGTGGAGCATCGCCAAGCCGACCCCGCGGAGCCCCCCTCCCGCCACGTCGTCCGCGGGAGGCGATGGCCATACACGGCATGTCGTTCGACATGTACAAGATGAGCCACGACTTGACCACGGGCCACGGGGGGGGGTTGCCACCGCGCGGGAGGAACGGAGGAGGACGGAGGAGGGTGGAGGGAGGGAGCCAGGGGGGAGTGTCGGCCAGACGCTGCATTATGTGTGGCTGGGTGCCGAGACATGGGAGACCCAAACATGCGATGCTTTCATGTTTGAGTGCAGAGGCTCTGGAAGTCTCGACCCTTCCCCGAGGGCTCCCGAATCGTTTTTCCCAGCAGCGTTCGGGCTCGAACGGTGGTGAGAGGGCCACAGAAGAACCTCACAGGGGGGGGGACGGGGAGCCCCAGGCCGCCTGGTCATGAGGCGGTTCGGCAGCCGCCTCGCTTGAGAGTACTCTTACAGTGTACTCAGCTACATGCTTGGTCCGGCCACATGTCTGCTCCGGACGGCTGCATGTCTGGTCCGGGCGGCCGCGAGTTTTCTGTGAACAGATCCACTTAGCGTGCACGTGGCCGTGCTCTCACCCCTGTCCGGGCGGCACTCTCCGTGGGAATCCCCAGGGATGTACGTCTTCACTGGCACACTTCCTGCTCCTCGACCCGCTTCTTCACTTTTGCTGCTGTCAAGGTGCTCTGTTGGCGTAGTCTGATGGTCCCAGGGCCCTGCGAGAGCCCTCAAAGGCCGAAAATGGCCAACCAGTGTCCGACGTGATTTTTGTTACGACGCGAGCATGCAGCGGGGTCCAGAAACCTTGAGCTGAAGAATGCTGTCATCTCTTGGGGGCGCATCCTTTACTTCGGTAGCAAACCATCCGAGCCTTGTATATCCTCTGAATTCCCTCTTTAGCATCGACTAGCGTCGATTAGCGTCTGGGAGTCGATGAGATAGCGCCGATTTCGCGTCGGCAAGCGTCGATTCGCGACGATTTAGCGTCGACTAGTTGGCGTCGATTCAGCGTCGATTCGCAAGAGCCGACAAGATGGTATGGGAGGCTCACATGAGTTGCCACCGAACTTTGCCTGAGCTGCCTCACGGCTGCCCCAGAGGCCCGCCGGGGTGGCGGCGGGGCGGGAGCCGAGCCAGGACGGCGGCTCGCAGCGACGCGGTGGGCTCCGGGCAGGGCTTCGCCTGCGAGGGCCGAAGGGACTTGGCACCTCCTCCTCGGCCGAAGGTCGGTGGGAGTCGGCGGACGCAGCACGAGGCTGCCGCCGCCAGCGGAGGCCGGCGGGGATGGAAAAGGTGTGCTGGTTCGGGGCTGCAGGACCGCCGGGTGTGCGAGAGTGGGGAGCACGTCGCCGTGGCGAAGGATGCCGTCACCCGTCCTTCTGGGAGCTCGCGGTTCGGCGGGGGAAGCGGAGCAGGCGGAGCAGTATCTGCTCCGCGTGCAAGCGCATCCGGTGCGATGAATTACACCGGCCGGCGCGGAGCAGTTTGGGGTCCCCTTTTTCTGAAGTAGCAAAGTTGAAAGCCATAAGAAGGGCGAAAATATTCAGCCGAACGCACCCAACCGTATCTCAGACAAGGAATCTTGAGAGGGACGGGGCCTTCATCTATCCCAAAGACATGGCAGTGTAGTCGAAAGACGCCCGATAATGGAAAGAGCCCCGTCTGAGGACGTTGGGAGGAAGTCGCGGGTGCCCCCCCCGACTTTCGAAAGTGGGAAGGGTATCGGATCCGCCCCCCGCCCGGACTTTCCGAAAGGGGGGGCAGGCCACGAGCTCGAGAGGACCGACCCAGAGGGGCTCGCCGCGGAGGAGGCCGAGTACGTGAACAAGGCCCCCCTGCCAGCCCCGCTGCAGCGGCGGCCCCGCCATCCGACGGACCCAGGGCTCGCTGAGCGTCGCGCGAAAGACACCGTGCGTCGTCGTTGTCTTCCTCCTCCGCCTCCTCCTCCTCCGCCTCCTCCTCCTCCTCCGCCTCCTCCTCCTCCTCCTCCCTCCTCCTCCTCCTCCTCCGCCTCCTCCTCCTCCTCCTCCCTCCTCCTCCCTCCTCCTCCTCCTCCTCCTCCTCCTGCTCTCCTCCTCCTCCTCCTCCTCCTCCTCCTCCTCCTCCTCCTCCTCCTCCTCCTCCTCCTCCTCACCGCCACCATCACCAGCATCATCATCGCACGCCGCCGCGCGCGGTTGGCTCTCGTGGAAGTGCGAGGCATTCCTGCGTGACTCTTGGTCGGTTGTTTCCCGATGGATGGATGTGCTGGCAGCCTGTTGGATCCTGTCTCTTCTCCTGGGGCTTTCCCCCCCCGTGGCGCCTCCCCTGTGTGCCCCCCCGCTGCTGCTGCTGCTGCTTATCCGCTGGTGCTGCTGCGTGCCCCCGCCCCCCCTCACCACTGCGTGTCCCCTCTTGCGCGTGGCCCGACAGGTCTTGGCGAGCTGGCCCTGTCCCTCGCCGTGGGCCCAGCGGGCACGGCCCGAGGCAAAAGGCCTTGTCTTCTGGGCCGTCGCCACCGCGTCTTGACCAGGGAGAGAGATGCTCCCTGCACGGGCGTTCCTCGGCCGAATTTCTCAGCCGCATGAAGCAGCCGCCTTCGTGCAGGTGGTGCGCGCCCAGCTGCGGCGCTAGGCGGGGCACGGACGGAGGACTCGTGCGCGAGGCCACGCGCGAGATGTTCCCTGCACGGGGCCCCCTCCCTCAGGCGGGGCGGGGCGCCCCAGGCAGGCCGAAGGCGATGCGCCTAGGGTTTGCAGCCGCATCACTCGCAGGGATGCACAAGTTTAGCTTGCCCAGCTCTGGTGCGGCTAGGACCGAGCTCATCCCCTGGACGCCTTGAATTTCATATGTTGTCCTTTTCCCCTCCGTCGCCCTTTGAGGCGGCACAAACAGCGCTGGGCCGAAAAGGCGGGCAAGCGAAGCCCGACTTGCGTGAAATGCAGATGTCCTTGTTGGGGCCTCGCCACGCCCGCGCTCCCCTCGCCCCCCTTTTTCCGCGCAGGTAAACTTGCCAGGTTCTATAAGAAATGTCTTCATCGGGGACGGGCTGACCCAGGTCAGCACGAACCTGGGTCAGCAAGGGCAACGAGGGGCGCCCCACGCGGTGTCGAAGGAGTTGGCATGTTCTCCTCGGCGCAAAGCGGCGGAAGCAAAGCGAAGGCCACTCCGCCGGCGGAAGCTCGGCGGAAGGCGGCGGGAGCAAAAGATGTGCCATGAAGAGACGCCACCCCGTTTAGATTCAGGATATCCGGAATCTGCCACGTCGCGAGGCCCAGGCCGGACACGACGCACTTCCCAAACCCTGGTCAACGGAGCAAGAGGAAGGGGGGGCTCCCCGTGGCGCTCAAATCAAATAGGGGTCAGTCATATGGGATCCGAGAGGATTGGCTGTCCCCCTGAAGGGATGACTCCCGTTACCTGCGCTATCCCTTCCAGCTGGCTCTCAGCCAGCATTTCGAACCTCATGGCGCCGTTCGGGACGATCCCGGCTCCCCCGGAATGCCCTCGACGAGGCGCATGCGATGGAAAGCCGTTTGGGAACCGAACATTTTGGGAAAGCAATTAATTGTTACCCCCAGACAATCGACGCCCGATCTTGTTCAATACGCGGTGCCCGGAAGTCCCGACCATTTCCCTCAGGCCAGCTTTTATTTCGGACACTGCTCGACAGTCCCAGGGCCCGGCGCCGGGCCCCCACAGGCCGACAACGGACAAACATGGACCGTCGTGCTCCCCACGACGTGAGCACCTTGTTCGGGCGTTGTTAGAAGTGCCCCTGGCCCAAGGTGCCCCCGGCATTTCCAAGGATGCCCCCACGGCCCCCCTGAGCACCCCGCGCGAGGCCCAGGGGGCCCCGGGTGCTCCAAGATGGAACGAACAGCTGGGGGCACTCTTCGGCCAGGGGCACCGTTGGCACCCCCCGCACGTGTGGGTTACCACCTTCTCGGCATAGGATGCCCCCATGGCTCGCCGGAGCCCACCGCCGGCGGCGCCGGAAGGTGGGGAGCCTCGTTGGCGCCAAGTTCGCCAGCCAGCCGACCTTGCTGCACCCGCGCGCCTACAACATCCAGGATCGCGCGGGGGCCCCGGAGGGAGAAAGGGGAAGAGAGCTGCGAGCAAACACGACGGAAGGTTTTGAACAGCGTTCGGCGCTCAGGGGCCCTCACCAAGCCTGGAACCCGCGAAACACCGACTAAAAGATCAAAAAGTGGCCCCGGCAAAGAGGGTCGGGACTTCTAGGGAGCCCGAGTTGCCCCCCCCCCCCAAACGTGAAAGAAAACGTGCCTGCGAAGGGAACGGTTGAGTTGCCAACGATTGTTCGGCTGTGATGCCGGCGATTGTCGGGGGAGCGTAAGACCTGGGTTTGCCAGGACTCGGGTTCGCCATCGTTTTTTGACGACCGCGCCTCGGATTTTGACGAGGAGGAGTTTCGTGGGATGTCTGCAGCGGGAGGCCTCGTCAAAATGCAGGCTCGGCCTCGTCATTTTTTTGACGACCTCGTCGGGGATTTCCGAGTCCCCTGTACCCGGGTCTTACGTCCCCCCGAGATTGCTCGGCTCAGTGCCTGCCCGGCTGCGACGTCGACGGTTACCATCCTCGCTGCTGGGATTGCCCCGTCTTTCTCAGGCTGCTAAAGCGTGTTCTCGGCTCTGATGTCCGCTGCTGCCCCATGTGGGGCGTTCCAAAGAAGGTTTCGCCTTCGACGGTAAAAGGAGGTGCCATCCCGTCCGCGGCGGAGGGTCGGCGGAAGTAAGACGAGGCCGCCTCCGCTGGCGGAAGCTCGGCGGCAGGCGGCGGCAGTAAAAGGTGCGCCCCCCAGAGACGAAAACGTTTTTGGGTTCAGGGTTCCCAGAATTCTGGAGGGGGAAGAACACACAGACACAATGAATCGTCGATTCCCCAGAAAATATGGGAAGATATGGGAAGTGGGGGGGAAGACAGAAACTCCGAAAATATGAGAAAATATGGGGAATCCTTTTATGTGTGTATTTGTTTCTGTGTCCCAGCGTCCCTTCAAGAATTCGCCACGTGTCGGCTCGGCATGTTCTGACCCACCACTTCTGGCCCCACGTTCCCCGCCGCTGCGCTCCTCCCCCTCCCCCAGTCCTCGCTCGTCTCTGGCGCCGCGCACCCCCGGGGATGGCGCGAGGGGGCGTGGCCTCCGGAGGAGGCCCAGCGCGCTTCTGAGGAGAGGCGGGGCCGTCTTCGAAGGGCCTGGAGGCCTGTGATAAGGCCTCTTCGGAGCCGGGGGGGCTTCTAAGAAGCCCCGTGCTCTTTTTAGAAGCCCGGCGGCGCGCTTCTGAGGAGGTGCGGGGCCGTCTTCGAAGGGCCTGGAGGCCTGTGATAAGGCTTCTTCGGAGCCGGGGGGGCTTCTAAGGAGCCCCGTGCCTTTTTCAAGGAGGAGGAAAAGGAGGAGGAGGAGGAGAAAGAGGAGGAGGAGGAGCAGCAGGAGGAGGAGGAGGACTACTGCAGAAGCCCCCCCCGCCTAAGATAGCCGCCCCCTCGCGCGACCCCTTGCGTGCGACACGGCAATTTCTGCTCGTGCCATCCCTGGCGCTCGGCGAAGCGCGCCGCCATCCTCTGCGGTGCCCAGCACCCTCGAGGGGGAGGAGGAGGAGGAGGAGGAGGAGGAGGAGGAGGAGGAGGAGGAGAGAGAAGGAGGAGGAGGAGGAGGAGGAGGAGGAGGAGGAAGGGGAGGAGGAGGAGGAGGAGGAGGAGGAGGAGGAGGAGGAGGAGGTGGAGGAGCAGGAGGAGGAGGAGGAGGAAGAGGAGGAGGAGGATGCGGAGGAGGAGGAGGAGTGCAGCCTGCACGGGCACAGAACGCGGCGCGGGCGCAGAGCGCGGCATGCACGGACGTGGCCGCTTCGCCTGCGACGAGCGAGGACACCGAGCGCGCTGGCTGCGCAGCGCGCTCGGCCGGCAGTGCGAGCGCGCGGTCAGCGCCGCGTTGGCAGAGGAGCTGGGCGGTTCGCCTCCGAGAAGAAGAAGATACCCATACCACTACCTTTTCGTTTTCCCTGTTTGGGGCCTCCTGGGAGGCCATCGTCGCCGTGGCTGGATGCGCTTCGAAATTCTGGCCAGAATGCACCCTGGGAGAGGTCTGGAGAGTAGCGATATCGGTACCTTTAGACTCCCTGCTGGGAGCCCCTGCCCTGTGCCCAGGCAGCGCAGCAGCTTGGTGGGTCGTTGCGGTGGGCGGCAAGCTCGGTGTGAGCTCGGTGGTGGCGCGGACGGAGAAACTCGCTCGCCGCGCCCAGAGGAGAATGGCAGCCCCTCGCGCATCCAATCGGCAAGAGCTTGGGCCGTACTGCTCCCCGCACCTCTGGTAGGTTCTCTGGCTGACTGGCGCACGCCCTGCTGGGCTAGCGCTCCGTCTGAGCGCAGATGTCCGTTTTGCTCCACCGTTCCCCAAACAGTGCTTGTACTTAAGGGTTCTGTCTAAAGATCTGGGCCTGTCTGGCGGTCTGGCGGCTATGTTGTCGCCGTGGCCACCCCGTCGCCGCCTCGTCGCCGCTCGACGTTTGGGCCTGGCTGGCGGTCCGGCGCGCTTGTGGTCGCCGTCGCCGCCCGTCGCCGCCGTCCGTCACCGCTGCTTCTGGGCCTGGCTGGCGGTCGCCACGCTTGTTGCCGTCGTCGCCATTGCCGCATCGCTTACACCACATAGATTGCATTGGATAGATGGCACCACATAAATTGCATTGCGCAGACCACAAACATCGAACCGCACAAATTGCACTATATAGATTTGCGCCGTTTAGATTGCACCACAAAGATTGGACCGCATGGATTGCATCACAGACTTCTTTGTTTTGATGAAGTATTGGGATTTCCCCTCCCCCTCTGACTTAACGGGTCACCTTTTCGTATTGCCAAGCCGGTAACGATACCCCCCTTTCTTCTTCTGCAAAAAGAACTCTACGCGCACACTGGTTTATCACAAATCATCCGTTGCCAAGTCCTTTGTAACAAATGGGACGAAGTGCGCACGCGCGCGTCGTCGCGCGCGCATGCCGAGATCTGTTTTAAATATTAGGATTCACCCAGATGTCATATGTGGTTCCCGCGAAAACCGATATAAAAAAACACATAGTTTCGCAACGATGATATTCAAAACAACAGAAATCCGATCGCGTTTTCACAGATTCTGAAGACAAGTATTGGTTATTCAACATGTCCACGAAATCCTACCAAAAGGGCTTCTCGCGTGCGCATGTCGAAATCGTTCCAACGCCCTTGCGCACGTGCTGTTGCAAGAATCCGTTTGCCAAAAATGTGACAAAGTGCACACACGCGCGCGTCGTCGTGCGCGCATGCCGGAATCTTTCAAAAACCGTGGGCGACGTAAGGATTTCAAAAACTAGTAGTTTAAAACATGTGTAAACAAAAAAACACGGCTTTGCAACATCAGCTTCCAAGAAAAAGTTTGCGCGCGCACTCTTGCGAGCGCTTAAACAAACCATCGGCTTGCAACATTGGCATCAAGTTCTGCCACACAGGCCTCTCGCGCCGCATGTCGAACTCATTCGATCGCCCTTGCGCGCGTGCTGGGGCGGGGGGCACGATCCGTGTCAAATAAGGCCACGCGGCCCACTCGCGCGCGTCGGACGCGCGCGCATGACGAACTCCTCCAAAAACCTTTTTTTATCGCCGACGCGAGGACGTCGCCATGACACCGCGCCCGCCCAAGTCACCGATTCGCACTGAAATGCTTGCTGGTGCCCAGCGGTCAGCGCCACATCGGCCGCGTCGGTCGCGCCAAACTAGCTGGCCGTTTTGCGCGCAAGCCTGCGCGCGCTAGCGCGGCCGCAGCGATGCGCCAGCCAGCGCCTGGCAGGCATCGCAAGTGCCGCCTTATGGCGGGTGGGTGGGTGGGACGATTGCGCGAGCAGTGCAGTTGACAAACCATTACGAGCAAACATTCATTGCCCCACACAAGATCGCACCACGTACGCTGCATCACATAGAGTGCACCGCCTTGAGTGCACTGCATAGCACGCTAGAACACACTGTGTAAGGCCCGCGCTGGCCAACTGATTCTCGAACGTGTGCCTCGCCCTACTGACGGCCACGAGCGTTGGCTTAGTGCGTCACGTCGCGGGCCTTGGCCCACCACGCTGTAGCGCGACACGCCAATCACGTCCTACAGTCGGGGCCCTGAAGAAGGAACCCTTTTCGTTGGGGAGGGGCTCCGTGTTCCTTGATTGTTTCACAGCTTGCCTCAGGTCTCCCTTATGTTTTCGATAGGAAATCCCGAAGTTTAACTTATGGAAAAAAGGGGCCTCGTTCCTTATTTAGGGTTCCTTAGGTCAACGCCCCGACTGTATGCCCCGAGCGTCAGCGTTCCCGCGCCCCATGGGGCGGAGCGACGCGCCCCGCTTGCAGGGCACAGCGTGCTGCTGGGGCCGCCACCGCGACACGCACGTCGCGACAATACCTACAAGGTCCCTCGTCGACAACGTCGGATGCCTTGCCGCCGCCTTCGGCGCGCGAGCCTTCGTGACCAGGTGCGGCGGCTCCGTTGTGCTTCCAAACGCGGACGTGATCGTCAGTGCGTCGGTTGCAATGGGGCTCGTGGCGGTCACAGGGATCGGTTTCGTGGTCCGCCGCCCGTCAGAGTCTGTTGTCGCGGGGTCGACTTTGACGCCTGGCAGACATGGGGCGGCGTGATGGAGGAGCTGCCCACAGGTGAGGACGCCCACGTGATGCCGCTCCCAAGACCAGGTTTTGGAGATCCGTCTCGGGCCAGGCGATGCGGAAGGATGTGGCATGCATCCACTCCGTGGCCTGCGAACTGAAGCAGAATGGCGACGGCACTTCTTCGAAGAAGTGTCTCGAGCCCCATCGACCACCAGCGTCCCGGCTGGCCGGCCGAGATGTCGAGGGTCTTCGGGGGGGGGACCTCATTTACGATATGGTCGACAAGACGGGGAGGTTGAACAGAGAGGACATGCCAAAGTCAACCCCCACGATTAGACGAGGGAACACAATGTGGGAGTTGGGCATCATCAAGCGACGCAAGTCTGGTTTCAGTGGTACCAACTTCTGGCAGAAGATCGGCGTACAAACGTGGAGTTGGTCGGAATGATTGAGCGCAGGCGAGTTTCGTCGACGTATGCTGCAAAGCATCGAGATCGCCAGATCCGACATGCACTCAATGATGTTAAAAAGAGATTGCCGAGATGAGCTTGAACGTTGCACGGTGACAAGGTTGCATGCTGGGCCATCTGCCAGTGGTGCATCCGTGAGCGAATGCTCCCTATTATCTTGCCGTCTGCCGCCGCCGCCGTCGACTGCCACGAAGACCACCTCGACGTTGCCGACGACGGCCACAGTGACGACGGCCCTGACGTTCTTTCTTTCTTTCTTTCGTGAGCTTCACGAAAGAAAGAAAGAAAGAAAAGACGTCGACGACGACGACGACCTCGACGCGTCGGTGACGACGACGGTGACGACCACGGCCCCGACGGCGCCGTCGACGGCGAGCACGACGGCGACGGCGAGGCGCCGTCGCCGGCGGCGGCGACGGCCGCGCCGTGGCGGCAGGCGCGGCGCGCCAAGGCGCAGCGGCCGCCGGGCGCGGCCGCGCGGCAGGCGGGCCCTGTGCCGGCCGCCCCGCCGGGCCTCCGACCGTGTCGGCGCCGACGACGGTGGCCCTCGACGACGACGACGCCGGCCTGCGTCGCCGCAGGCCTGCGCCGTCGCTGGCGTCGAAGGCCTTCGTCCTCGCCGTCGTCGCCGCCGCCGTCGTCGAAGGCCGGCGACGGCGGCGCCGGCGAGCTGGCCTGGCCTGGCCGGCGGCGGCGGCGGCGGCGACGAAGGCCTTGGAGGCCCCGCGGGGCGCCCGCAGAAAATTTGTGGAGGCCTGCCGGGCCCTGTGAGGGCTTCTGGGGGTCTCCGGGGGCTTCGGAGACGTCCGGCGACGAGAGACGACGGCGGACGACGACGACGACGACGGCTCCGACGACGACGGCGACGACGACGACGACAACGACGACGGACGACGACGACGACGACGACGATGACGACGACGACGACGACGACGACGACGACGACGACGACGACGACGACGGACGACGACGACAGCGACGGCGACGGCGACGGCGACGGAGACGGCGACGACGACGCGGCGGCGGCGGCGGCGGTAGAAGAAGTGAGAAGTGGAATTCGGCGGAGGCAACGGCGAGGGCGACGACAGTGGAGGGCCCCAGGGCAACAGAAAAAACGTGTGAATCGAAGAGTAAGAAGCGGCATAAACGTAAACTTCTAGCCTTCTGCGTGGGCTTAGGTCGGACCAGGCCTCTTGGGTTTTCTGGGCCTCTTGGGGGCCTCTGGAGGCTCCTGGGGAAGCCCTTTGGCTGTCCGAGGGCGTTCCTGGCCCGTCTAATGCCGTCGGAAGCTGTCTTCGGGGCTTCTCTAGGCCGACTGGGGACCCTCTTGGGACGCTTCAGTGTCGTCTTGGAGGCCAGCTTGGGCGTCTTGAAGAGTCGTCATCCGAGGATGCCTCGAGCGATTAGGGCCTCTGAGGTCACAAGACCGTGCGTTGGGGTCTTCTGGGACTTCGAAGTCACCGCACCGGTTGGGGGACCCTAAATGTGTCACCTTGAGCCCACCTGGAGGCCCGCGGTCAGTCTTGGGGCTCTCCTGGGGCCAGCCTGGGCCGTCTGCGGGGGGGGCCTCAGCTCCCAGACGGGCCTCCTTGAGTCGTTCGAGGTCGAAACGCCGGGGAGACAAACATTCATCCGAAACCGTCTGTGAATTATGTGTTGAAATATTGATCCCATGCGTACTCTTGGTCTGTCTGGAGCCGTCTTGGGGCCGCCTTGGGCCGTTTCTAGCACGATTCATTCAATCGCTCCGACGGAAGGATGTGGGAATATATTTGGCATGCCCCTCGTTTTTTCCTTTTCGCCCTGGCGGAAGCCTCCTTCCGCCCACTGTTTCGCCTCGTCCTCCTCCTCATCCTCGTTATCCGTCCCCTCCTCCTTCTCGTCCTCCTTGTGCCATGTGTTCTCCTCCTCCTCCTCCTCCTCCTTCTCCTCCTCCTCCTCCTCCTTCTCCTCGTCTTCGTAGCCCTTCGCAGGGGCATGGCGTCGCATCCTGGTGCCAGCGCAGCCTAACGCGAAGGGCACACTGTCACTTGGAGTCGCCGCATGGGCGCTGGGGACAAGCAGGCGACCGTTGGAGGGTTCAACTCCCTCGCACCATGGGTTCCACGCACGGGTGAGGCACACGTGTGCCCTCCTGGGTCCGCGAAGTTGGCCCGCAGTATTAGAGTCGGCGCAGCGGGGCCCGTATAATCAGGACCTGCATCGTCTCCAAAGGTCGGTGTTTGGTTCACCCCAGCACCACTGGAAGCGGCACACCACCTTGGGGAAGGTTGCCGCAAGCGGGCCGTCGTCAAGCTCTTGCCCTATCCCAGCGAGCCTTTCGTCTGGGTGCACCCTTCGGGGACGATTTCTGCTGTCGTTTGCAAATGTTCCTACATGCTCCTCCCCCTCCTCTTCGTCCTTGTTCTCCTCCTCCTCGTCCTCCACCTCTTCCTCTTTCTCCCTCTCCTCATCTCCATCCCGCCTATTCTCCTTGTGCACCTCTCCTTCCTCCTGGCCAGGGCACGCATGTCGATTTTCCTCGGCACCCTCGCCGCCACGGCCAGGAGGGGCGCCTTCTCCGATAGCCGGATCGCGAAGCCGTTGGGGCAACCCCGCGGGTCAATCCGTTGGGACAGCCACGCGAGCTGCTGGGGCGCGGGAGCAGGCCGATGGGACAACCCCGCAGGTCTGGAGCTGGTCGCGGCCGCGCTCAGCCTTGGCAGCGACAGGAACATGGTTCCCAAAAAACCCGCGTCAGGGAGCCTTCGTCGTGAACTTTTTTCTCGCGGTGCCTAAAATTGGCAGCACTTACACCATCCCAAGGACCTGCTCGGACTGGCAACGCGAGCTGCAGGCCCGGAGGGGGCCCCCGCTTGAGACGCCCTCGCGGTTCACTCGCAGATCCTCCCCTGAAGCAGCGTGGGCTGCCGGCAGCCGCAAGCGGCGGAGGTCGCCTCCCTCGCCCTCGCCCTCGCCCTCGCCCTCTCCCCCCCACGCGCAGTTCCGGTCGGAATGCCCGCGGCTCTTTCTGCGTTCGCGAGCGCGTAATCTCGCCCCCTGGAACGCAGGCACTTTTTTCTGCGCAGTCCCTGGGTCAGAGCCACGGCAGGAACGCGCTCGGGTTGAAGCGAGAGGATTGCATCGGCGCAGCGACGTTGCATTCTCGCAGGAAACCCACGGATAAGATGCTGACTTGTCGGGCCCCGAGCGCGACCAGCACGAGTTAGTCCGCGTCGGCCCCCCCCTGCCCCCCCACGCTGGCGGCGTCGCCACCTGCATCCGCAAGTCTCTTGCTGGGCAGTTTCACGGACAGCCCACTCGGCTGGTTATTGACCAGGGCAGGGTGCCCCTCTCTTTTTTTGTTTCTCTCTCTCTCTGTCTCTCTCTCTCTCTCTTGTTCTCTCTCTCTCTCTCTCTCTGTCTCTCTCTCTCTCTCTTTCTCTCCTTCTCTCCCCTTCTCTCCCTCTCTCTCTCTCTCTCTCTCTCTCTCTCTCTCTCTCTCTCTCTCTCTCTATATATCTCTCTTTCTCCCGCCCACACATGACCATCCGTTACCATCATCTCTCTCTGTGTTCCCGTGCTTTACTTGCTGCAATTGCGTGCTTGAGCGATATCAGGGACCGTGCTTGCCCACGCGACGCTCACAGCAAAAACGGTGGTCGCCGCCATAGCCTGGATTGAACATCATCGCAGACAGTGACTCTCTCACCTTCTGGATTAGCACGGCCACATACGGCGACGGGCATCCAGAGTTCGAGTGCCGTCCCAACCGACGGGGTGCTTCCATATATATATATATATATATATAGATATATATATATATATATATATTATATATATATATATTATATATATTTACATACATATATACATATATATATTCTTCTTCTTCGTGCACATAGTCGGCAGCAGCGGGTCACATCCCCTTCTTCTTCATATCCAGTGCAGGTTGGCATGGCCACGTTCCAGAGAGTCTTCGAGCAGGGTGACACAGCAGAGCGCATCAGACAATGTTTGGGGCCCTGGGCCCAATGGATAGGCCAGTTTCGCCAGGTGTCGACGTACTACTGCGACATCCTCCAAGGCCTCTCGGACTCCTTGCAGCTGACACACCAGCGGGCAGAGCAGGAGGAGAGGATCAGGAACAACCAGACATGGGCGTGGCGAACCCAGAGAGAACCACACGAGGAGATCATGGATGTGGTCATGATGGACTCGGACGAGGACATCACCGAGGAGGAGGTTTTGCGAATGTTGAGGAGGGACTACGGCCAGGTCGACACATATCAGGAATGGTCGATGTCCTCCAACGATCGCTGGTCGGAGGCCTCATAGCCTCAGAGGAGGCCAAGGAGCGCCTCATGGTCCGCTGGCCGCTCCCCATCCACCACATCAAGGACCACAATATCGTGTTTGCAGTAATTCAAGATACTCTTTTTCATTCGTTCCACGTTTCCCAGGAGTCAGCGTCCAGCCAACTACGGCTATGGATCTGGGCTCAGAGGTTTCACAGACATGCAGTCCCAAGGCTGGTGAGCCTGTTATCCTTCTTACTCGAGTACGTTGCGGGCCCGACGAGGCCGGCCCACCGCCCCCTCCGAGGGGTTTATCAATGGAGTGTTGTCAGTTTCGCACGATTCATGCTCGCCATTCTCCGACTTCGACGGGCGCATGCACAGCGCAGGGCACCGTCATGGGCGAGACAGCTTCTGATCATGATCGCCCCCGACTTGCGCGCCGCCATCAACGACTGGGATCATCCACTTCTCCTTTGGATCTTCGAGTGTTTTCTAGGACCACCGCGTGGAGATACCCGTGCCGCGGTGCATGTGCTTGGCAGCCATAGTGGATTGTGCATTGGCAAGGCAGCACTACGTGAGTCAGCCCTTCCAGGGCTGCTTGGCCGAGTGGCTGAACATGTACGGGCTGTACTTCATCCGCGAGTAGGCCCTGGGCGGCGACCCCGCTACCGTGTCCTCAGGCGGAGCCTGGGGTCCTTGTTCTTCTTACCTGTGCTGCTACTACGGACAGAGAAGGCGAGTTTTCACTTTGAGGCATTGGCTATCAGACGCTTCAATCCGAAGTGCAACCAGTGCGACGCCATGGAGTCCGAGGCAGTCAGCAGGCGGCGCGGAGCGGGGCAACTCCACGCGATGGCGAAGACCCGCAGCGCCCGCCGCCGCCGTCCCCCGTCGTGGAGGCGCGGGCCACGGGCGACCACCAGCGCCCCCGCGCGGACAGCCACAATCCTCTCGGCTGTAGCAGAGCATGCACCCCGAGCAGAAGGACCTGGTCTGGAGGCCCTATACCCTGGGGCACTTGCGGAGGCAGCACCGTACGGGATCTTGTACCGACTCCGGATCGAGGAGCACTACCACCTTACGGGGGAGGCTGGACCACTGTGGATATTCGAAGGCAAGAGGCTCGGGCTCCTCCTCGCCTGCCTCGCAGCCAAGTGGAGAGATCTACCCGTGTTCACGTTCAGGAGCCGTTTGGAGGTTG